TTTTACAAATAACATGTTTTCAGAGTTTGAAACATTGTTTTGACATATTTTCTATGATTGTGTTCTCAGGTTTTTCTATTGTTGTGTTGACTGTATAGTAAATGAGGCAGCTACCTCAGTACACTCCAGAGTTTTAAATAAATAAATAAATAAAAAACTCTGCCTTGGATTCTTAAAGAAGCTACGATTCGAAATACACATTTTTTTTATTTAAAAGACAAATGATAAAATATCGATATCGATATCGGTATCGGCGATACCAGCCCGAATTTTACTCGGTATCAGATTGGAAAGGAAATTGGTGGTATCGAACATCACTAATGTCTATGCCTCACAGATGACATCCCATATCAGACCCTCTAAGCTCTGGCTGGTTAAATAAAAATATGATGCTTTTGTCAACCTGGTATAGAGCATACATGGAGTGAATATATAGAGAAGGATGCAGGCAAAAGCAACAAAACGGAGAAGTCATTTTAAAAAACAAGAGTCTTGATTGAGTCATTTTGCTTCAGGTACATAAGGAAGTGCTAAGACTAATTTTACTCTAAGCGTAGAATGGTATAGTTTTGTACTGTCTGTCAAACTATCTCTCCAAAAGAGTTTCAAACAAAACGTTTTTGTGCTCAGAAAATCATATTTTGTAAAAGCATTTGTTAGCTATTTTAATTTTGCAGATAGAACAATCACACCCGGGATCACATTTCTACCTTTTTTTAAATTTGTTTGATTTATATTGGTGTCAGGTTTGCTCAGTGCCCCTACAGATGTCCACCTGACTTCCTACAACATGGACCTGGTTCTAAGGTGGACTCAAACAAATGAGGCAGTAAGTGGACTGACCTACACAACTGAATACAAGTGAGTATCTATCTATCTATCTATCTATCTATCTATCTATCTATCTATCTATCTATTTATCTATTTTCATTTGCATACTGTTCATATATTTCTGCAACCATCTAATTAATTGATTAATTACAAGAACATTTATTGACAAAGATTTATTAATAAGATTTTGGAACAGTCAGCAGGGATATAAACAGAGATGAACAGGCGGGAAAGAACAGAACAGAAGCCTGCGAAATCACACAGAACACAAAACAGAACAACTCAGCCTACAGAGTGCAGGGAATGGAACAGACAGAAAATATTAGAAATTGGAAACCTGGCCTAGTAAAAAAAAAAAACAACCTAAAAACCAGGCCTGTGGTCTACAGAAATCTTGGCTGGAGTCTAGTCTGAGCAGAGAGGACAAACCTCATACAGTCCTGTACAGCTACAGCTACACTGTAGCACTGGGCCACAAGAAGGATGTCCAACAGACAGAGCAATGCAAAAAACACAAATCAGGCAAATTCAACAGAAAGGGCAGAGCAGAATAGAGGTTGGGCAAGACAGGCAGAAACACACAGAACTGTACACATGGAGTCACATATCAGACAGAGTGTATGGAGAACAAAACACACAGAGTAGGACATGGTAGAACTCAGCCAGAAACATATGAACAGATGTCGTTCTTACACTGGCACTTGATTTGGTAATGACTGCACAGTGACACCAGTTTTGCTCCCCATAATGCGTACTCGCTCCTCAACTAATGAACATTTACTAATTCACCTTGAGATGGGGTTTTGATCAACCATATTAACTCAGTGTAAAATCATTAAAACTACTACAGGCTTTTTTTGTGCATTAATTTAACAAATTCCACGTCTTGCGCATGCTCATCTCACATGCTAACATCGCACCTCCTGCAATTTTTCCTCATGCTTTTTTACCTCTGTCATAAATAACGTGCAGTTTGAATTGGACAACATGGATACAACGTTACACTAGCACTTAGTTTGAATTGGACAACATGGATACAACATTACACTAGCACTTAATGCGCGGAAATCCCTGTGAAGGATAGAAAATGTTCAGATATCCCATTAATTCTTGTTGTGCTGAGCTCATCTTAGTTTAGAAATTGTGCAAAATTCATGCTCACTCAATCCCTTTCTGAATGTGAACAAAAACAGGCATTGAGTGCACAGTGAATTCCTTATTAAAAGTCAGTTGGAACACAAGTTTTGTTGTGTGTTGTTTTCACCCCATATAACGGTCTGACTTATCATTTGTAAAATGATGGTTAAAAAGCATGTGGAAAAAACTACAGGAAGTGGGAGATAAGCATTCTTGAGATTTGGTGAGATTTGTGAAAGTAATGGGCATTAAAGGTTTAAGGTTTTAGGGATGGCTGATATTAATTTTTTGGTGATATCAGATATGCCGATATTGTCCAAACACTTAAATTCCGATTCCGATATCAACCCATACTGATATAGCAGGGCAGTAGTGGAAGTTAAGTGCAGGGGATGATAATGTTAAATCAGTGTTTCTCAATTTTTTTCTTTCTGCCCTCCCTAGGGTACAGAATTGAAATACAATTAAGCACCTGGTAATACTTATTTATTTATATATACAAACCACTGTATGAGGTGCTGGCACCAGTGATGTGCGGATCGATCCTGAAATATCAATACTTCCGATTCTGGATCTTTATGCTCTGAAATCGATTCTGAAATCAAAATATCGATACTTTTGATACTTACGCATTCTGAGATGAGGTGTATCCTAAACAGAAACATGGTGAAAAGTATCCAAATTATTGAGATGTTGTCTAAGTGACGCTCGGTTGGTGGGACTACTTCTTCTTCCGCCTGGGTGTGTGCGTCATGCTTAAGCACAGGGGCTCTACTCCGTGCTCTCACTCAGTCACTATTGATGGGAATTTCGGCTCTTTTTTGGAGAACCGGTTCTTTTGGCTCGGTTCACTGAAAAAATCCGACTCTTTCGGGTCCCAAATGGCTCCTCAGATTATTTATTTTATTTTTTTATTTATTTTTGTTTTACAAATAACATGTTTTCAGAGTTTGAAACATTGTTTTGACATATTTTATATGATTGTGTTCTCAAGGTTTTCTATTGTTGTGTTGACTGTATAGTAAATTTTTTTTTTAATTTAAAAGACAAATGATAAAATATCGGTATCGATATCGGTATCAGCGATACCAGCCAGAATTTTACTCGGTATCGGATCGGAAAGGAAATTGGTGGTATCGAACATCACTAGCTGGCACCAGCATTCTGCATACAATCCCTTGAATATTAAAATAGATTAATAAATTGAGCTGCAATACTGCCATATAATGCCCAGAGGCTTGTTTAACGTTGATAATGTTCTGTTTATTTGTTATGAAGGAGTTACAGTAGCAGTTATAGGTATGGGAGGGGTAAGGAGGAGGTGAGGTGAAAGGGCGTGTGTATATGAGGAAGAGAGAGTTTGGAGAGTGTGAAAAGAGGAAAAGGCATTTCTTGAGAAGCTGGAATGAGTTACTGTAATTGTGTTTCAATAAATGTCCTTCGGAGCACTGAGGTATCGGACTGGTCTGGTCTGTCGCTGGGGCATTGCACTATTTTTAGAGCACACACCAGGCATCAAGTTTTCATTATCAGAGGGGGAAAAAAACGATAACGATTCTTACAGATATTACAAAATATGCTAAGATTGGGCCGATAATAAAAGTTGTGCGATATTATCGGACATCCAGAGTTTTTTGTTCACAAACAGAGTGAAACCCATAGTATTTTTAGGTTGCCAAAGCAGTGACTGTGATCAAGTAAAGGTCTCAGACATTAGAAGAATTGGAAAAGTTGCTACTGATCAACGAAAAGCAGTTGGCCTACGACAGTATTTTGGAGACAAAAAATTTGTGAGAAAGCCAAGCGAACATTGCGCAATCCCGACTTCTCAGCGCCGGTAAGGATTAATGAAATTGCTTTTCTTATTTATAGTTTTATTTTTTGATCAGTTGTGTTTGCCTTTTTTCTTAGATCAAATTATTTGCATTGGTTTCGTGAATGAACCTGTACACAAAATACTGTACTGTACTGTACTGAAAAAGTTTAAATAGATACTGTACTGTACTGTACTGAAAAAGTACATCATCTGGGGTCCAGGAATGGATTGATCGATTTTACATTAATTCTTATTGGGAAAACTGTTTCAGTTCTCAAACTTTTATGTTCACGAATGGCCTTCAGGAACAAATTGATTTACACAGTTCGTAAACCAAGGCACTGTACATGGATCCATCGTGATTATATGTCATACTGAAACAAGAATTCTGTACAAGAAGTATTAGGTACCTTAATACTTATACAATAGTACTGTGCTTTCGGCAGAACATAACATCTACTTGAATCATTTTTGAAGAGTTTCTGTACTTACTCAATACTCAAATCTTAAAATTGGGTAACATCATATAACTTTGCTACAGTTACAGTCATACTGTACACTGCATAATAAAGTAGTCATGGGGAAATTAGCAAGGAGCAAGTTGTTCAAATTCACAGAAAGTCAGTAGGATCTCAGCTGTAGCCTTTAGTAGGATATATTTTACAGAGATTATTTTGTAGTGATTTTTAAACTGAAATCTGTTACGTTTTATGGAACATGGAAGCAGGTGGTACCCAACTTGCACTTGGGAGGCATTTCTTAGTTGCAGGAAGTTTATTCATTGTTCATAACCCAAAAGTACCCACTTACTGGATTCATGGACCAGGCAGAAACAATCAGGAACAGAAAAGAGGCAAAACAATAAGCATAAACACAAAGCATAGACATAGCATAAACACAAAGCATAGCATGGGCAACGTAGATTGAATAATGAAACAAACTGAGTGAGGGAGAGAGGTATGCATACTTAGGTGACACAAGTGAGACTAATGACAGACACAGGTGAGGGTAATTGAACTGATTACCACAGCAGTCACAGGCAAAAGGGAAGGGAGACTTGCTGAGCTCACACATCAACGGTAACCTCTTTACAATGTCTGTCCACAGAACATCAGTAACTCCAGATTACACAGTAGGATGTGTCAACATCTCTTCCCTGGAATGTCACTTTACCCGCCTCATCCCTCATTCAATTTCTGAGAATGGAAAGTATACCGGCAGAGTGCGGGCTCAGTTAGGACTAAAGAGTTCTGCCTGGGTGGAAAGTGGAAATATTACATTGGACCAACATAGTAAGTTGTTTATTGGTGCTTTATTGACTTGAATTGAATTTTAAGATTTTAATTAGATTTGCAAAAATGATGTCCCTTGGGCCAGATACGTGTCATAAAGTCAAGTTATGTGGCCCTTAAGTATGAAAGACAATCGGTACCATAATTCAAATAAAAATGCATTAGCAGAAATGCATTTTCATTTTTTCAAAATATATAAAATGTCCATAATTCAATCTGAATTTGCAATCCATGGCAGTGCAGGAGAGTGGCTGCTCTTCGTCTGAGTTGGTTGGCTCACACTCACAACAGGGTTCTTCCTGACATCATCGCGCAACCCTTGTTAGAGTTAGCTTCGGAGTTTAAGCTCAACACAAAATCTGAGCAGATTATGGTAGAGCTTGGCTGCGTACTCTGCCGTCGCAGACACCGATATTGGACTTAGACTTAGATTTTCCTTATAGTCATTGCACAGAAACACAACAACAAAACAGTGACTCTGGCAACGAAATGTTGATATATATATATATATATGTGTATGTATGTATATATATATACATACATA